GCAGCTCACGGGTTTGAAGATTGGTGCCCCGATGAGCAAGATCTGAAGGCCCTCAAGGATGCAAGCAAAGACTTTGGCCCTCAGATGCTCGAAGATGAGAGAGGAGAACCTCCACCCGAGTCTGCGTTGACCCAAGGAGCAGAACTCGAGGAAACCGTCGACTACAGTGCAGCACCGCCACCACCAACACCAACAATGGCTGTACCAGCAACACCGGCGGCAGCAGCACCTTTGACGCCAGCAGCAGCGTCACGGGATCCGACAACCATACATGTCAGGATCGACAGCCCAACACATATGCACCAACACACCACGGTGCAGACACTACATCAGCGCTTTGGGGACCTTCCCAAAAGCCTTAGCACCACGAGGTCAAGACGACCAGCACAACCTTTGGAATCAGCTCTCTCCAAACGGACAAGAGCCACACTGGCTGAAACGAGCCACAGCACTGCAGCACCAGCACTTTCCGCACTGGGCAATGTTGGCCCGACACCGCCAAGAAGCATGTCTCACCCTTCTGATCCTACCATTTTGGAGGATCCACCACAGGACCAAGAGTCCCTGCAAAACATTGCAGAACAACAGGCAGCTGCAGCTCTTCTTCCAGTACCTGAAGACCACGAACTGGACATGCACCTAGAAGAATACACACCAAGCATCCCGGACGTTCCAGACACCACAGAACAGTTCGAACCGGATGAACAAGCCACAGCCACAGAACCTGCGGCAGCGGCAGAACAAGCAGCAGCAACCGCGGGACAAACAGCGGCAGCAGAGGACACAGGACAAACGACAGAACACACAGAACCAGGACCAATGCAAGAAGAAGATCCTTTACCAGTGCTACCGCTGAAGAGGCCATTCGATACACTCTTCATCATGGAAGAGAATGGCACACTTGCACGGGCAGAGCACCATTGGGGTGGAACACCACCCATGGCATATGGCACCACAAGCAAAGCCTTCTTCAAGGTCTACGCAACAACCAAACAGAGACAACAAGACATCAACGGCACAGACAAAGCAGCAGCAGAGAGCGACACCACAGTGGACTCCGACAGTGGAGACTCCAACACTGAGCAAGCAGAACGGCCCAAACATCACAACCCGGGCATGAGCAGACAGGGCCGCAAACAGCTGGACAGGGAGATTCCCTGGAGGCACATCTTGACGATGCCACCAGCCTACATCGACAAGTTCCTGGCCGCCATCGACAAGGAGACCAACAGTTGGTCCGAGTGGCGGAGTGTCAAGCCACTCTCAAGAGAAGAAGCGCAAGCCGTCCTGCGAGACAAGATCCTCTCCAAGCGCGTGCTGCGCTCACGAGCCTGCTACCGTGACAAGAATGTGGGCCAAGGTGAAGTCAAGGCAAAATGCCGCATTGTTTGCTTAGGCCACCAAGACCCGGATCTCGAGGTCCTCAACCGTTCATCCCCAACACCTGGAAGGACATCGGAGACGGTGATGTACGCCATGATCGTGGCTGGGATGAACCAGGAGCTCTTCGACACCCAGAAGCCATGGCTGGCATGGGCAGGAGACGCCCAAACTGCATTCCTGCAGGGGAAGCAGAAGGACTCAGAGAGGCCACTACCTCTCTACATGAGGCTTCCAAAAGATGGCCTGATCGAGAAGACCGGCCACTGGCGCTCCGACCTCTACCAGATCTTGGGCAATGTCTACGGGCTCAGCAATGCTCCACACCTTTGGAGCGAGGAGGTGACGTCAAGGTTGACCTCCAAGGGATATGGCCGACATGGCTTTGACCCTCAGCTCTTCATCAAGAGGGATCCCAAGAGCGGCTATCCAGTCAGCATGTTGATCGTCTATGTGGATGACTTCTTAGGCCTCCACCGAGCTGACTATGAGATCGCCGAGATCCAAGACCTCTTCCGCTGGGGCGATCTTCAAAGCTTCAAGGCCGGCCAAGCCATCAAGTTCAAGGGCAAAGAACTGGTCATTGAACAGCTCTCCAATGGCCGACATCGGATGAAGATCACCATGCAGGGCTTTCTCGACGCCCTCGACGTCGGCAAGATCGCAAAAGGCAGGTCAAGTCAAGACCCTGTCATGACTCCCATGGAGCAGAAGGAGTACCGGTCGGTCAGCGCCTGCTTGCAATGGGCAGCGACACAATGCAGGCCTGAGATCTCACCGCTCATCAGCCTCTCCAACCAAGGGGCACAGACCACCTACCAAGGCCTCAAAGACTTGTACGAGGGCCTGGACTACCTCAAGTCCACGTCGGACCAGGGCCTGACCATCCAGGACATCCCCTTCACCAAGGACTCCCTGGTGCTCGGCTACTCCGATGCAAGCTGGTGCAACGCCAGCCGGAGCGGCTCTCAAATCGGCTTGGTGATCGGCATCACCAGCATGGAGGCAAAGCAGAAGCCGGTGAAGTTCACGCCATTAGATTGGCGGAGCTCAAGGGCTCCAAGAGTCTGCCGATCGACTCTGGCAGCTGAAGCCTGTGCTGCTGACGAGGCAGCTGACCGTGGAGCATACCTCAACAGGATCATCTCTGAGTTGATCTACGCACAACCCTCACACCGAGTTGGCTGCCGCATGCCCTATGCCCAGGCCACGGACGCCCGCTCGCTCTACGACGCCATCATGGCTGAGGCGCCAAACATCTCGGACAAAAGATCCCTGGTGTCAGTGAGGAGTGTTCAAGAGGTGGTGGACACACACCAGCTCCACTGGGTCCCAACGACCCTTCAGTTCGCAGATGGCTTGACAAAGGCCGATGTCAATCTGCGCAACGTGCGCAGAGCATGGTTCGAAGACCCCAGAGCGGTCCTCGCAGACCACCCGGAGAACCAGAAGCTGCTGGAGCAGCTTGGCGCCAAGGTCAACAAAACAAAGACCAGTGAGAAACTTGCACCATGATTTCCTTTGACCTTGGCACCATGTGGTTCGAAACTAGGATCCTGAGCCCTTACCCGTTTTTCACCTTGCGGTGTGCGGAAACATGTTTGCGCTTTGAGCTTTCGTTCGAGCGTTGTCGAGAGATAGCAAGTGACCACAAAGTAGATTTTGCTATTTCTGTTTGGATGTTCTTGTTTTGCTGAGATCACTCTAGTGGTTCCCGTTGTGAGAAGGAAGAGGAGCTGCAACACCTCATCCGTGCTTGGATGATGGGGCATGACTAAGTCCTGTATGAAGCAAGAGGCCTTCAATACGAGATTAACTTTCGAAGGACTGCAAGTTGAGCAACCTTGAGAGTTGCTGTAGATGAGAAATCAGTGAGATGTTGTGCTTGAAGACGGTTTCGATTGATTTCTCAAAAGGCCTCATTGATCTCAACAGCGATTTGTCCCAAGCTGTGCAGGATGATTCAGATCAACCTCTCGAGTGGAAACAAGCGGCACATCCGGGTGAAGCCACGTCAAGCAGATCCCAATCAGCCTGTGGCAAGCACCCAGGCTTCAGCTACAGACCCTTCAACTACTGCAGCTCCTACCCCGACAGACGCAAGAAGTAGCGGCGAGCCACGTGCCCGATCACAACCTCGCTCAGGTGTGACTCCACCTGGCAGACCAAAGCGCTTTAGCTTGGGCAAAGATGGGAAGGAGGCAAAAGGCGCCGGCCAAGGACAAGAAAGTGAAGGACAAGGAGGAGGCCATCCCAAGCAAAAGCTTTTGTGAACGTCACAAGATGATAAGCCATGATTCACAACTTATGTTTTCTTAATTCACCTGTCAAAGAGTCCAACATTTCGACATCAGATTTTCTGTCAGGCAGACAGACTTGTCACCCCTCAGTCGACACTGACGAGCCGGCTTTGCCATTTGGCGTGCAATGGCCTTCTGCGCAGGCTAAAGCTGCAGCAAAAGCATTGTACATGGAATTGCTGCTGTGATGCAATTGGTGTTTAGGACACATCCATCCCTTGCAAAGCATGTTGTGGGCATCCAAATCATGTTGGGAAAGGGATGACTGAAGACTATGTGTGTGTGTGTGATGCGGCGCTTTTGCGCAAGCAAATGCAGCTTGCTTGGAACGATGAGGCTGTCTTCTCAGCAGTGCACACAAGCGGAGAGGCGGAGCTGCTACAAGCACAAATGCTTGCTGTGGCACCCAGACAAGAATCTCGACAAAGAGGACAGGATCTTCAAAGTAAAAACAAGGCATGATGCGACTGCATATGTGTGGCAAATAAGGAACAGGATGTAAGGCTATTACTATAATATGTTTGTGCAGCACAGTGAGAGTCAGCTGTAGGATGAGAGAAACAAAATATTGTACACATTTGAAAGGTTCTGAACAAACAAGATAGGGGAAGAACACGTGAAAACGTCTCGAAGGGATGAGCCAACTGAATGTCCTGCCAAGATTATCTATACGAGACGAGACCTTGGAAAAGTATGAGTACTTAAGTTCAGGAAACATAGAAAAAAAACGCTCATAAGTTTGTAAGCATTTCTGCAAGTGCCCTGAGATAGTGGCAGACAAATAGAAGATATACGAATGCTGCCAATGGAGTGAGGCTTAAGCGGAGCTCGTAAACTTACATGTTTCAACTGCACGGTTTTGGAGGATGTAGCAACAGAAGTCTTTCAATTTCTGCAGCTGCTTCGAGATTGGTACTTGTCTTGACAGAGTTGGTCAAATGCGGGGAGCAGCCACTACTGGTACCAACCAGCCCGTTCCAATGTTCCATCAGCGGATCATTGATCTGGCACGATGAATATGTGCATTTGCAATGATAGCTGCAAGAGTGCCATGCACGGAGTGCAAACTGATTGTCGAATGAAGCTCGCTTGTTTCACACTGTTCGACCTTTTGTGGACAGGGGAAAGGGCTGAAGATCGGCTCCTTCCAAGTTGCGTGCCATGGAGTGCCTTTCAGAAAGACTCGGCATCACGAGGGAGACTGGATTTGGGTAAAATAAGGGGTACCTCCTGGAGTGATCTAACTAGTGAGAGGCAATGACGACTCGCCGCATCACGATCAACACAATGTTGCCTAATTTTTCGTGAAGAAGCTGTCAGGTCAGGGCTGAACCGGTGGAGGTGGACCGCCTCCTGGTGATCTTCTGCGTGAAGGAACACCAATGGTGGCCGAATACGAGGCAGGTGTGTAAGGGGGCAAGTAGGTTGAGCTCTATCAAAGACACTGGCAAGGACTTGTCTTATTGACAGCGTGTCAAGTTTAATGTAATTTGTCGTGCCTCACCGCCGAATACACATCTCTTATGCAATCAAGCTGCCCCGTTCTGCCACGCAGATATGACATATGACATTGTCCGTTCTTACATGTGGAAGGCCAATAGTTTGGAGATGGCGAAGATGGCTTTGGATAGGGCCTATTGTTGCAACTATGGCCTCTCGGCTGCGCAGACTTTGGGCTGGCAACGCAGAACCACCAGTGCTCACTACAACTGCACGTGTTGGAACTTCTATATGCAATCCTTCGCAAAATGTACAAGCAATTTGCACAACATCATTAAGATGTGTCTTCCACATTAGTGATTTTAAAAGAGCCAATAGAGGTGCCATTTGGCACTGAGGAGAAGGTGTGGCTGCTTGCTCCTTGCTCGTTACGCGCAGAGCGCAGACAGAGCTCTTCCTGGGGGCATCCGTGGCTTTGGAGATGGGACCCTTGCAGCCAGGTGCCAAAGTAGACACGACCTACACGGCGTGTTTGTAAAGTTCTCCTACATTTGCATCCGTTTGCATTGCCCTTGTGTAGAATCCTGCAAGACAATGAAACTGGATCTATATACTAAATTCCACATGCCTATGATGTTTTGGATGCATTCCTCCTTTCCTTTGTTTGGAGCATTGCAGAGTCTCAGGCGCGTTGTCTCCGCTTTGTGTGGCACTGGTCGCCTTATCCAGCCATGGTGGATCTGCCGAGGCAGTCCAAACAAAACCCTAAACTCTAACATGTCCAACGCAAGTTCTAAAGTTTTCTTGCCGCAAGTTGACTTGTTTTCTTGCTGAGAGGACATAAAGCAGGTGGACTGGGTCGCAGGACCACGTGCCGAGGCCCATTTCCAAGTGAATGCTCAGTGTGTAGAGGGGAGATCTTGAAGCCCTACGACTTTGCTTCCCAAGCAATGTATGATGTGCATCTTTGGTTTTGAACGGACCTGTATATCCCACAAAATGATGTTGTGAAGACTGCAAGCAGTGCTGAAGGAGAAAGGTATTGAAATACCGCGATCACCTTCAGCAACATCGATACAAAGTTTGTCGTATTGGACACAACACCAACAAGGACCAACAAGCCAAAAGAACAAATCGCAAAGTTCGAAAAGAGCTGCTAATTGAAAAAATGCGACGACTGTCGATTCGGCAACTTGCTGCAAGGTGGCAGCCTTGCAAAGACTGGATGAGAAACTTCTCGCAGAACTGGCACCAGCAAGCACCTTTCACTTCTCCAAGGCTAAGAGTGCTGGAGCCAAGAAAGAGAGATTGGTATGATTTGGTATGCCTTACAAAAGAGGATCTGGCAATTTGCATTTTATGCGTTTTGCATTACAGGTATCCTTGGATTTCTCGTTTGTCGCCACTGTATTTAGCAAAATGGTCAAACATGAAGGCCTTCTCTCCTTGCCACAAGCTAGGCTCAAAGTGTTTTTATATGGATTGCAGTGGTGTTCAAAGGGAAGGCTCATGATGGGAGACCAGGCCATATGATTTTTGCATGGAGATGTTCATCAGCCGTCTCACTGTCTCCCTGAAGGCATAGGTGAGGCCGCCGAGGCCGAAGCAGCCGAAGCGTGCAACGATAGTGGTCTGCTGACGCCCAGGCAGGTCAGCTGGATTCAGCTGGATTTTTTGACTCAGATTCAACTTGGCTGAGAATAGCAGACATGATTCCGGCAGACACAGAAAGACGAGTCCTAGACGAATGATATATTATGTTTGCGTTCAGTCATTCATAATTCTAGCCTTTTTGCTTTGTGCACGTGAGTCCACAAGTCTATCCTTAGGTGTAACCATTTGTGACAGTGCTTCCACTGCATTGGCTGATAGTTTCATGATGGTTTCGGGCCATCGCCTGTAAGTTCGAGGCCATTGCTATTAGGTTGGAGGCCATTGCTATGGGGTTGGAGACCACTGCTAGTAGGTTGGAGCCCATTGCAGTCAGGTTGGAGGCCATTGCTAGTAGGTTGGGAGCCATTGCTATTAGGTTGGAGGCCATTGCTCTTAGGTTGGAGGCCATTGCTCTTAGGTTGGAGGCCATTGCTCTTGGGTTCGAGGCCATTGCTCTTATGTTGGAGGCCATTGCTCTTAGGTTGGAGGCCATTGCTATTAGGTTGGAGGCCATTGCTTTTAGGATTTTTAGGTTGGAGGCCGTTGCTATTAGGTCGGAGGCCATTGATATTAGGTTGGAGGCCATTGCTATTAGTAACTCAAAAAAAAAATGTGTTTTATGGGCGCAATGATAGGATTCTTGTGGTGTCACGAGGTGACGGGATCCAGAATCGTTTCCCTGAGAGGGGCTGCAGCATGATTTCATGCGTCCGCGCAGATCTTTGTACCGCTTGCAGTATGTAGGAGCATCAGAGTGCCACGCATCATGACAAAAACTATCAAATACTACTTCGGCAAGAATTTAAAGAGCTCATGTTTGCCTCACAAGCTCATGTTTTCGACTTCACGTTTGAAATTGGCCATTGACCCTTCTGACTTCACAGTCCACATCGCTCAAAACGTAGCGTGACTCAAGCAGTTCAAAATGATTGAACAATTGACGTGTTTCGATCCATGCTATCTCAGAGTTCAGGACAAAATGGAGCATAGTTTGACACAGAATCGAACCATGTAAACTAATCGGCTGTGCTGTCCAATCTGGAAAAGCTGAAGCAATCACATGATGAGTCATCAGGGCTTTTTGAACGTCACAGTGTCGAGTGAGAGGCAAAGAAGATCACGAAAATGCAGCAAGGGAGCTCAGACAACATGTTTCTTCCGGCATTGTTGCACTTCTCTGCTGTGGATGGAGAGTTTAGACACAGTCAATCAAGACACCTTGCCGCCTTGTCAAGGAACAATTAAGACAAAGTCAATCGAAAGCGGCCTCCTGAGCCGGGTTTGTTTCGTCGGTCGTTTTTAAGCCTGGCAAATTAATCCTGTTGGAGAGTCGAAAGCCGCACAAGCCCTCATGAATTGTCAGAGTTAAGCAGTTCCGCATTTCTAGCTTCATGACAAGTCGTAAAGATTTTGGAGTTGCTGAAATGCAACTTCGAGGTGAAACAGCAGCTAGGCACTCAGGTGGAGTAACACCTTGCGCTGCGTGACAACTTCGCAGGAAATCTACTCAAAACGACAAGGATCCTGGGCAGAATCCATTTTGCAAACGAACAGAACAGAAAACGAATCGTGTTCACAATACGGCAATACGGTTGTCCTTTTCACTGCTCAAGGGCTGCGTACATCCAAGAGTTTGGCTGACCACAACAAATGCAGAGTCCCTCCGACTCTGCATTTGTTGAGGTATTTGTGTCTCGATACAGTTTCATTTGTGAATCAAGTCAAAACCAAGGCTGTTGAGGGAACAGGCAGAGGTGCAAAGGCCAGATTTGGAGACCCAGATCGGGTTGATCGATCGGTGCAAGATTGATTGTGAATAGTTGGCACAACGGGGATTGAACATCTTTGAACCGAGCAAAGTTAGGAGCAAGAAGCTGCTAGGAACAAGGGCATCGCTACTAAGGAGCAAGGACGCTACTAGGGCTCCTGGCCTTACTCCTAGTTGCTGCGATTCTTGTCACACGAAAGGTTGCTCGGCAACCTTGAGTTTGATAAGCTTTAGCTTAGGAGCAGGATTCTCCCCAATGACCTGATTTTGGGCTCACGGAAATGACTTGGAATATGGGGCGATGGGTGGGCAGGCTATGCGGGGCCTTGAAGCAGAGCGAGGCAGAAGCTCTTCGACTCAGCCAAGGCGGGGCAGTTTTCACTTGTTTTGTCAAGCTGCACTGAGCAGGTTTTGTCGCTCAAGTTTCACCACGATACAATCTACACTTAAACTCCCCCGATCTCAATTCGGGCTAAGCTGTGATCAGAAATGTATGTGGAGAATTGCTGTTTGTTGTTGAGTGTGTTGAGCATCCAACCTCTCGCAGATGTTCAATATTCAGCCGCAGCGAACGAGAAGGATGGGTTCGTTAAGTGTTTCAACACACTGGGCCACGCAAAATATGAAATCTACTCTATGATAGTAATTGATATTATATGATATTATCGTTCTTCTGACAGTCCATGTAATGCATGGAACAATTTCGACAAAACGCTTCTGTACTTCAGTCACTACTTTCTAGCATTCTAGGCCCATGTCGCTTGGTGTCTCCAGGAAAGGATGTTTGAGAAGCAGTGGGTGTCTCAGTTTGGCGAAGACGATTCTGCTGTTTTCACCACGGCACAGGCGTTATCAGGCGTCCATGCAATGTTGCACTCAACTTATTTGAACATTGGTTTCGCTGAGGTTAGCCATGAATGAAAGCCGGATCAAGGAGTCCTTGAGCTCAAGATATCCCCTTTTTGAGTTGACCCATGGATGCTGTCAGCTGAAGCAGTTGAATATAGCTGAATCGGAAGGGAAGAGACAGAGAAAGGATAGAAGGATGGAAGGAGAATGAAGGAGAACGGATTTGAATCTAACGAAGCGACAAATGTGGCCTTTGTTGGAACGAGTCTGAGTTCACCGAAGCGAGGCTGTGTGCTTCACTGATCAAAGCGGAGAGTCACATCTCAAACCTTGAAGCAGGTTCGGTGCACCAAGTGACGAAGAATCAGTGTTTGAGAACCGGCTTGGAAGTATATAGTATATATGTTGTTCTCACTTTGGAATCTCAACCTCCAAATGGCACTCAGGCATCAAAGCCCTTGTGGCAGAAAACAGCTTGAACTCACTGGCAGCATTTCCACGCTCAAGAGTCGGTCCTCTTCGGTTTGATGGAAGTGCACTTGATGAAAGCCACAGAACGACACACATCAGCTGAGTCATTTGAAGCAGTTCTATCTTTTTACACGGCAGCTAGACAATGCTGTGATCTGATCGTCGAACAGCAACTATCATAAGTAGCAGTTGCAGAGCTTAAGTAGCTTTCAGACCCTGCAAGTGCTGATCGGACCGAGTCACTAAGTGTGGCTGGCAGACATGGATTCGGAGAGCACCACCAAGGAAGTCAGCTTTCCGAAAGATCCAAAACAATCCAAAATGCTTTTGGCCAGGCAGCTAGTCATTATATAATTGAATTGAGGCGCTGGTCCCCATAAAATGCCGGTTTGGTGAGCCGTTGAGCTTAGCTGGATTTTGGTGGTTGCGCAGATGACGTAAGATATGAGCCTTGTTGTCAAAGTGTGTTCCAATATACGGCGAAGACAGAGATCAAAGCGTGTGGGCACATATTGCAATCATATTGCATGTGCAGGTCTCCGGAAGTAATCACATCCAACTTCTAAAGACTTGGTTGCACTTGCAGCATGACGGATCCAGGAGCGTAGCGGCGGCCTTGGGATGCAACTGCCTGGTGGCTTGTCACGGCAAATGTCAGCCATGTCTGCCTCCGAAGCGAAGGCTCGCACGTTTGGTTGCATGTAGGCTTGGAGGTCCCCTGGTGGGATTCTGAATGGTACTGTAGTTAGTGAAGAGTCAGGCTTATGCAGTCCAGGAGTCCAGCATGTTTTTCACCCCAGCAATTTCGTGGCGAATGCTCAGATCCTTTGTACTGCAGCATTTCTCCCCAGATTATAAGTTAGTGAAACGCTACAGTTGTTTGTTCAGAACTGAAGAGTGCACGTCATGTTTCTGGAGACTCCAGTGTTTGAACTATCCCCACTCAAAGACTGAATGTCATACCCTGGGTGCGAGGCAAGTTGGACGATGATGAATTTCTCATCCAATGTGTCTGAGGCAGGCAAGCCAAATACAATACCAGGTTTTATCGCGTTTGCATCCTTTTCCAAGGGAAAGCACAGCCTTTTCCACCATCGATCGATCTCCTCCTGGCTTTGTCAAACCATGCCAAATCACAAATCGAAGCCACGCCAAACCCAAGCAATTCGACTTAATGGCAAATAAAGCACACAGTTAGCGCAAAGAGAGCTGTGAGGTTTGATGAGGACATTCGCCAGTAGTGGTAGTTTGGCAGTCTATCTAGCAGTTTCTAGGCCAGTTGTCATTTATTCTTTATAGTTTTGGCAGTGTGGCATTTGGTGGGTAGTAACAGGAAGGCAGTAAAGCATGGGTGTGTAGGAGGACGAATGCATGGCAATGAGGAGGTTGGAAGCCAGCGGTTCTAAAATGGATCCCACAGTGTTGAAAAGCTAAGCAATTAGGGTGTATGGCGCTGCGTGCAGGTATTGAAAAGAAGACTCCTACTTTAGTCATTAGTAAATTAGTCTAATGGTTCGCAGACCGTCTTGCTTGATGTTGCTTTCTGAGAAGGCTGAGAAGATGCTTGGATGGAGACGTTCATGAACACATAAGTTCTTGTCAGGTGGGCCCAATAGATGAAGAGCAGTGGTCCTTCAAAAGGCTACGCGCTTTCATTGAGGACTGAGGGTTCTGAAAAAGATCGTTGAGTCAGGTGGAACTGCTCCTATATGCTCCTTGTGTCCTGTGAGTCGGCGGCGTGTCCAACGTTTCCGTTTTTCACGGTAGGTCAATCCGAGAGGGAATCGGAGAATCCTGCTTGACCGTTGGAGCTCATGCTGCGATGTTTGTTTCTTCAAGCAGAA